GCCCTCAGCTCTGGGCAGAGGGCATTCAGGCAGCACAGTGCCCAGTGCCCACACATGGCCATGGCCATGCCAGCACTCCAGAGCTCCTGCTGATGCCAAGGATCCTTGCTCTGCTCTTGGTTGGTTGGATAGAGACAGGTTTAGACTCATCTTTTGATCTTCAGTATGTGCTGCGGTCTTGTTCTAATTGTAGCATAACAGAGAGAGAAAACGTGCCATTGTCTGAGCAATAATGAAACACTAAGCATGTGGAAATTCTATTAGTGCCTTGTGGACTGTAGCTGTCATTTCATTTGTCCTGGAAATCCTTCCATATGGCCATGACAAAGATTTAAGGCTGAGTGTCTTGGCACTTTGAATGCATTAGCTGTTCCTCAGACAAAAGTCTGTCAGACATGCTGAAGCATCTAAAGGGATGTATTTATTTCTGTAAGTAATGTATTAAATAGAAGTGTGTTGCTAAGTTTGCTGTTAGGAGAGAAAAACACTGTACAAGAATCCTGTAGGATTTTCTTTCCTGGTGAATGTTAGATGAATGTGTCTGTTTTCTGTAAACTTCTCTTTCTCTGCTTCTGGTTTTTGCATCTCCTCACTTTGAATAAAGTTGCTCCAAACCTTTTTCTTGAGTGTAATTTTACAGAAGATTATATACTTTGTAATTATTTTTCTCTATATATAAATATACACAAAATGATAATGATAGTAATAGCTTACAGTAATAATAACAAATGGAATGAATCTAATTTCTTTGATTGAGCACTCAGAGTATCATCTCTGTGTTTCTCATGTAATAGGAAGGCACACTGAGACATTACTTTGTCAATTTTCCTTTCTATTCTCGATCATATTTATCATTCTTGCCGGATTTTGTTAAACTTGTCCTTCTGGTTTTGGGGTGGGGTTTTGTTTTTTATGTTTTTTGTTGGTTGTTGGATTTTTGAGACATAATTACTAGAATTGTATGTTTCTACATCAAATTAGAAGATAGGAGTCAGCTGTTTTTGTCAAGTGTGAGTGCTTGACATGCATAAAACTGGAGGAGGTTGCAGTCAGTTCAGTTTTGTATGATTCTCTGTGTTCTTAGCATATCTCTGCACTTAAAAGCTTGTGTATGTTATATTTGCACCTGTTTTCTTCCATTTAAGCTATTTCAAAAATTCACAATGAATCAACACCAATTATTTGCTCTTGCATTGTACTATGTAGTTATTATGTAATACTGTACAACTGCTTGCTTTCTGGAGCAAGAAATATTATTCCTCTTGAAAACGTGTCTTTTAGCTAGAGGAGGTGTGAGTTCAAAAACTGATAAATACAGGAAAGTGGCAAAATTATGTGTAATTGCCACTAACAAAAAGTGGTTTCCAGTATCTGAATATATTCTATTTCACAAAGTAGAGAAAAAGTAGAGGCAAAGTAGAGAGCCAGAATGGTTCCACCCTCTTTTTATCCTGCAATCATATTTAAATATTTTTGTAGTCAGGCCTGAAAGCTTTGACTGTATTATTAACAAAAACCTTAAAAATTCTTCTCCAGGAGTTTCCTTCATTGTTTTGATAGCTACTCATTGTAGAGCTGGTGCTGCAGCTCTGTAGGCAAAACATCAGCATTATTCATGATGATTTTAAATTTGAAGTTGCTTTCCCCTGATGTCATTATGTGTGTTAAATTCTTCTACAGCATACTCATAGAAGCAAGTTTTTTGATTGGTATGTTCCTATCTGTAGTCCTTTGTGTCCTAGTAAGGATGAACTTCATTTCTTTCAGTGCAGTGTAATTTCTGGTAATTCATTGACTATGGAAAAAGCATCATACGTGTCATAATCAGTGATTAATTGTTGCATTTTTCATTTAACTAACTGTCTCCTCCACAAAGCCATATGTTTTTTCAGTTATCTGTTCGTAGAACATGGGCATTTTTACAAGACAAGTAACTCCCTTGCAGTGTTGCATTTCCCCCCTCCCCCCCAGTTCTTCCATCTTTATTTTGGAACTGTACTCTTTGTTGACCTGTTTCCTCGCATTGTTCTTCTGTCAGGGCCTGCAATTCCTCCATTAGATTTGTGAGGCTAGTCTATAGCTACTCTGAATTCATGCAGAGATTTGCTCTGTCGTAAGCCAGTGTCATCCTGCTGCACTTCACACACAGCCTTGTCCTCACGAAACTGCAGCACCAACTTAATTCTGTGCCATTAGGATGCTCCTATGAATTGTGATCTAGTAAATGTGGAGGAGACAAGCTTGGAATATGTGCACTAATGACAGTCTAGTTACAGTTGAATAATAATATAGCAGTCATAAGCACAATATGTGATGAAATTTCATGTACATGCAGTTGTGCTTTAAGGTACTGTATAATTCAATATAGTATTTAAATGTTTTAGATGAAAATATTTACAGATGCCTACTTAATATATTTTCTGCAAATTGCTTTAGATTTATGACATTTAGGTGCCACTGTGAGTAAACAAGCATAATTTATGGTACTGGGTTGGTATTTTTTGTTTATTTCTAATGTTTTTGTTTTAAACTGTAGTTCATGCACTGTAGATCCACTGTCAGTCTTCATAAATTTCAGCTGGCTGCCAAACCTGAATCCAAGGGCTCTGCACTGTAGGAGGCAAAGTCAAAACATTTGTATTGACGGAGCCAATTGAAGGTATGAAGGTATCAGAGCTGTGGTCTTGAAGTTGTCAGTGTTGTGTGCAGAAGGCTGTGGCTCTGTGTTTGCAGGTCCTCTGTGAAGAAGACCCGGTAAACTTGTACATCCTCTACATGGCAAGACTTATGCAAACCATGCTGGTAATATTAAAAGGGAAGCCGAACAAGTGCTGCATACTTCTTGGTTCTGAAAACATTTATACAATTCATTAGCCAGTGGTGAAACAGAGCAAAGTAGATACCGGCTTTGAAAAGAAGGTCAAGAGGGATTTTTATTTCCCTTCTGCCCTGTGTTCCAACTATTCTTCTTCATAAATGACAAATCTGGTGTCTCTAGTAGGAGATTTCCTTGAAGTTGCACATGCCTAAGATCAGGGTGGGTGCACACAAGTCTGGGTGTGACACAGGAGGGTTACCTGCCCCAGGAGTGCTCACAGCTGAGGCAGGAGCCTATTTGGCATCTCCAGGTTGCCAGCATGCCCTGCAGCTAGCAGAAGTGCTGTGCTAACATTGGTGCTGAGGCTCTTACCTGACTGAGGTGCAATTGGGTGTCATGAGTTGGTAGCAATTGCTGGAGCTTTAGTTAATTCAAAACCATTGCAACATCTGAACCGGCCACTTGGTCACTACTAATTTAAGTGTTTTTATATTCTGTTAGCCAGTCTTCCCACAAATTGTCCTTGAGTCTCCTTATCCGCAACATGTTTCCTGTGCAATCAGAGGTGTTTTGTGCCTTGTGCCTATTTCTTTTACGCAGTGTGTAGAGTATAAGATGTAAGTAATGTTTTCCTCTAATATAATTAGGATGTTAAGTCTGGACTAAAGAAAAAAGTTTGCATTGATTTTTCTTTGCATCCGATCCTCTTTACAACTCTGAACTTAAAATATATTCCTGAGGGTACCTTGGAGTTTTTGCACATTGAGAGGAGAATTGTTTAATAGCCTATAGCTGTTCTCCCAAAATAGTCTAAATAGACAAGGAAAAAAAAAATCAATGCACCCAAATAAGGTCATTTGCTCACAGTGATTAGGACACAGAAATAGTCCTTTTCAAGGAGGTGGAACGTATCTCAAGATATTTTGATGGATTACAAAGGTCTGAACTAATTTTGGTAATGTAAACATCAGTGTGAAGTGACTCTGGTCCCATCCATCCCGCATTCAAACAAAGGTGGATGTGTTTCAGGCTGGATTGAATAAAGTGCCATCTGGTTCTCATGTGGTTTGACTTGCCAGCAAGAGCCATCGCAGTTAGAGCTGTGTTTGAAAGGCAGGTTGCAGCTGACAGTAGGAAGCATTTATCCTGCATGATTCCTGCCTTTTTGCTCTGATCGGAGCTTCATGCACATAACTGTGTCAGAAAACCCTTTTTTCTGTGTTCAGACGTGAACACTGTTTGCAAATTTATTTCAAAGTACTCTCACTTGCTCCAAGTCTCAGGTCTTAATGTAATCATCTTTCCCAACCATTGTCTTTCATTCTCCTGGAAATAATTATTTCCAGCATTTTCTGAGCAAAACAGAAAACGAAAAAAAAAAGAAAAGAAAAAAAAAAAAACCTCCTGGAAAGATCAGGCACCTTTTTTGTATTGCTTTTCTGCTGATCTTGTCTTCATTTAATAGACCATGTTTTCTTGAGTACTTCAAAATATTTCTCATCACTTGCCCTTGGTACTGACCTTGCAACCTGAGAATCAAGAAAGTGTCATGTTAGTGACTACTAATTAGTGCATCCGGAGAGCTGCTTCTGCTGGCCTTCAACCTCCCAGAGGCAGCAACAAAAGCTGTCATATGTATCATACAAAGAAAACAAGTGTTTGCCATGGCTTTTCTGTTGTTCCCCCTGCACACCCCAGGTTACAGATAGTAGCATGAGCTCAATTGAAACTGCATCTGAGTTTGTAGGTTAGGAGGTAATTAACCCACAGTGTAGTAGTTGAATTTTTTTTTTTTTCCATGCATAGCATAAGGCTTTTATTACTTGGTTCTTACTGCATTTGTGTTATTTTCATGGTAAGAATAGAGAATAAATCTCTATTTCCTTTCAGCCTTTTTGTTGTCGTTCCTGCTGTCTTTTTATTTTTTTAATACTTCCCACTGTATTAAATATATTTTAATATACAGTGTAAAGTCGACATGGAACTTTTTGTTTGTTGAACAATCTTGTTAATAAGAGAGTCAGCCATGATACCCGTTCATCGTTTTTCTGCTGCTTTACCTATTTCAGCTATCATATTTTGGAACCACCCTATTTTGGGTATAATGTGCAATCACAGCCTTGTCACAGAACTGTCTGTGCAAAAACCATTCATGTCTTTTTTATTATTTATAATTTTTCAGGTCTTCAAAATAGAAGTGCTAATGAGTGGAAGGAAGCATTTTGTGGAGAAGAGATATAGTGAATTCCATGCTCTCCATAAAAAGGTAATTATCTCTTTACACGTAGCAGATTTGTTTCACTCTAATTGATTCCCCTCACTTGAAATTGTTAACATTTATGGCTTATCTTAAATACATCTTGTGATTCATGTCTCTGGAAAAGAGACCTTAGCTTAAATAGTTGTCTGCTTTGTGGAAGTGAGGATGGTGGGTTGTGAGCTGATCATTTCTTACTCTACTTTTCTAATGTTTTTTACATGCTGCATTGCTAAAATGCCATCTGTAGTATGTTGGGGTTTTTTTCTTCTTACAAAATGATGAAATACAGCACATTCCTATAGCAAAGCAATACAGCTTTGTTTTTTATGCTGTTATGCAAGTAATTTATGTTAAATCTATAAATTGAATTGCTAACCTGCTGAGCTGAAGCAACAGCTTGTGCACACCAGGAAACTAAACATGAAAAGGACTGGCTTACTCTGCTGCTCTTCATTCAGTGATTGTGGTAGGAAATACTCCTTAAGCCTGTCTACTGAGTCCTCTTACTGGTGTATGAAGTGAACTTAATTCCTTCATGATTGAGTGCCCATTAACTGTTTTGATGACTGTTAAAGGGAAGGTACGACTTCTCCTCCCCAGGCTGAACTAGATGCTTCTATTGCAACCTCCCAAAAGGCAAATTTAAATCTTTTCTCCCTTGTGAAAAGCAAATATTGTGAAGAATAATTCTGGAAAAGCAGCAGCCTACTGGTGTTGGGAGTATGCTGAATAGCTTCAGTCCTTTCCTCGGAGCAGGGTCAACTTTTCTTGCTTTGGCATTGGAGGAGTATGTGTAGACTTGACTGCTTTTGCTTGTGCTGCTTTTCTTCAGTACCAAAAATCTGCCTCAGCAAAAAACAGAGAGGAACATAGGGAAGAGCTTGTGGCATTTACAGCTCCTGCCACTGCAGTGTCACAGAAGCTTGCTTGTACCAGCATGTTTGGTATCCCTGAGTCATTTCAGGAATGGTCTGATTTAGGGAGGAAGCAGAGAATTGGCAGAGAGAATGAATTTTGACAGCCTTATATTGATATAAGCCAACTTGGGACAACAGAAGGAAACTGATGAGGTATATGTGTCTTTGTCCTAAAGAATCTTACAAACAAATATAATTTTGTTTTACTGCACTGTAATCAATATGTGCTATTATTTCTTGGCCTTTTGCTTCTTGCCCCAGTTGTGGTAATTGACTGCCGCTTTATAACGTGCGTGTTCCTGTTTATTGCTTTAATTCAGATCTCTCTCACATCTTTTTTGCCTTGTGTTCTACTTCAATATGATAACATATGAGCAACGGTGTCAGAATCAGCAATACAACTTTACAGTGCTTTTGCCATTTTACACACACTAAAACAATGAATGAAAGTAAAATAGAGTAGGCTGACTAAAAATTATACAACTATTAAAAGGGAAAAATTAACTTTTCTATGCTAAAATTGCATATCCAAGTAGATTGTTTCCTGTAGTTGTTGTCTAATTTCACTGTGATTTCTGGTGTTGCATGGTTTAGTTTCCAGTTATCTCTTGACTTACTTGCACGTTTCCCCTCATTGCTCCACACAAGTGTCATGAATGATTGCAATCTCAGTCTCAGGTTTGTCACCTTGCAGTAACTCCCTTTGTAGAGAATTATCCTTAAACCACCAAAAAAGCCATTAATGACATCCCTTTGTTTTTCTAACCAAAAATAGCAGCAAAATATTCAGCCAAAATTCAAACGGCACTTGGATTACCTTTCTGTCTGTTACATCTTACACCTCATCTGCTTGGTGTCTGTTTTAAGTTATGCTGTGATTTTCTTAATTCTTCTAGCACAGATGCAGAACACCCAACATGTTTAGCACAGCATACTATTTAAGTCTTTTTTTTTCCCACAAACCTACTTAGGTTTGTAGTAAACAAAGAGTTGAAGAGCTCCTGATCTGAGGCTGCTTCAGTGCTTTCAGTTGCAGAAATACTGGAGAAAGAGGTCTCTAACAATACATTACATCATTTCACCCTTTATTCATCTGCTTTATGTTAGAAAAAGCAGAAAATCTCAAAGGTCCTAAGATAGTACGATTCTCTTCTTCCCCTTTAATTCAAAACACGAGTTCCACTCTCCATTGCATGCTTGAGAATTATAAAGGAATCATTAAATGTACTGCATTTTCAAGGTGCCCTCAACACTGGAGATGACTGGTGAGCAGCAGAAATAAAGCCTTTGCTGGGGACAGCTGGGGTAGAGAGTGGGGCAGATTACACCTTTGTCTGAGAAGGCTGAGCTGCACTAGAACCTTAGAAAGGCATGGAAGGACAGCATAGCCGTTGAGAGATGATTCATTCATCGGAGTGCCAATAATGCCAATTAATATTTAGATTCTTTTACTTATTTATTTAGTTTTGGTATTTTTTAGGAAAGCCATTTGCAAGAAGGTGGCTGGATTCGTCGTTCTGTGCTCACCTTCTCTTGCATACCAGGTCTGTGAAAGAGCTAAGCCCCATTTTCTGTGCAATCTGGCTGTAATGGAAAGGATTTAAAATCTTCAAGGCTGCTACGACACACAAGTACAAATTACTTCTTTGTCACATTATAGAATGTAATTGAAGTTTGAGTGAAACTTTCGTGATTTTCATTTAATTCATTTATACAATGAATTAAAATCTTCCAGTCTGTATAACGCAGTTAAAAATACAATGATATACCCATATTTATTCACTACTCTTTTATTCCACTTTTTTCTTTGCATTTCAGTAGGTTTTTTTTAGTATGAAAATGTTAGGTGACAGCGAAACAACCAGTGCACTGAAATCTAGAAAACACCTAAGATCTACACATCAAGTTTTGCAAATTATTTATAATTTGAGAGTAGTTGTGACTTTCCATATTTGGACAAATAATTCTATAATTGATTATCTGAGACATCTTTTAGACTTTAGGTAAATAGGGACTACAGTTTGTCAAATCAACATCCTCAGCAGGTTTGCAGATGACACCAAGCCGAGTTGATACACTAGATGGAAGAGATGCCATCCAGAGAGACCTGGACAGGCTTGAGAGGTGGGTTCATGCCAATCTCATGAAGTTCAACAAGGTCGAGTGCAAGGTCCTGCACCAGAGTTGGGGCAGTCACAAGCACAAATGCAGGCTGGGCAGAGAATTACTTGAGAGCAGCCCTAAAGAGAAGGATTTTGGGGTGTCAGCTGATGAAAGTCTCAACATAAGCTAGCAATGTGTGCTTGCAGCTCAGAAGGCCAATTGTCTTCTGGGTTGCGTCAAGAGAAGGGAGGTAATTCTGCCCCTCTGCTCTGCACTCATGAGAACCCACCTGGAGTACTATGTCCAGTTCTGTGGCCTCAATACAAGAAGGACGTGGAGCTGTTGGAGCAGGTCAGAGGAGGGCAGTGAAGATGGTAAGAGGGCTGGAGCACCTCCCCTATGACTACGGGGGTGAGGGAGCTGGGGCTTTTCAGCCTGGAGAAAAGAAGGCTCCAAGAAGACTATATTGCAGCCTGCCAATACTTGAAAGGGACCTACAGGAAAGCTGGGTAGTGACAGGTAGAGAGGAAATGGCTTTAAACTGGAATAGGGTAGGTTTAGAGTAGATATTAGGAAGAAATTCTTTACTGTGAGGGTGGTGAGACACTGGAACAGTTGCCCGAAGAGGTTGCGGATGCCCCCTCCCTGGAAGCACTCAAGGCCAGGCTGGATGGAGCTGTGAGCAACCTGGTCTAGTGGAAAATCAGGTTTTCTGTTTTGGCTTTAAGGCCATTCAGTAAACGTACATGAGTTTGGTCAGGTTTCATTTTCATTTCTTATTAAATTGTAATCTAGCACTGTTAAGAAACCAGGAAGTTGCAAAATATTTCCAGAGCGATCGAGATTTCTACTCTGAAGCTTCGTTACTTGTGATTGTAGAGACGCTGATATGTTGGCACTGCTTTTTCCTATAGTGACATCTCAGCGATCTCAAAGATGAAATGTAAATTCTCAATCTCCCATGGGTACTCATGTCAAAGTCAATTTTGAGTTTCTTTCTTGCCTCCCTTGCCTCAGATTTACTCAGAGGCAATATACAACAGAAAGAATGTCCAATGTCACCTCCTATTAAAATGCAATGAAGCCTATTCCACTTACTGTTTTTGCTCCATTGTTTTGAGGGAAATATTAATACTGGTTGGTTTTGAAAAAAACACGTTGCTCTAGAAAGAGAATTCTTGCTGCTGTCATAATAGATATTTGTGTCTGTCTGTCTGCTCTCATTTATGCATACACCCACATATTTCTGCGTATATCTGTAAAAGATTTTGTATGGGAATCTTTAGAGAAACAGCTGTGGAGCTCTGTTGGAAGTATATTCAGTGGCAGTCTTGCTGTTTTTCTTTGTAAGCTATTAAACACAACTGTCAATTCACTGGGGCAGTGTGAGGGCATGGATATCTTGCTCTCTTGATTCCAGAAAAATGTCTTGCTCTTCTCCTTCCCCCACGTGTACATAAATGCCTAAATCTGGCGTTAGAAATGATTGTGGTGTTTTGTCACCAGACTTAGCAATGTAATACCTATGTACAGTGCAGTGATACCCTAATGTGTCATGCAAAGTCAGTTAATGAGGAAATGAAGCACAAGAGGGACTTAAAGTTGTATCTTATATCTTCATTGGGTGCTTAAGGCTGCAGTGGGTGCTGAATCCAGCTGTCAGGTGCTGGTGTTCCTTCCTCATCTGCTATTAGCTGCTTTGAGGTAGGTTGAACCCTTGCTCTGTGGTTTCTGGGCTTCTTGAGTAAACACTTCCCAAGGCTCGGCCTTGCAAGTCACCAGAATCAGAGATTGACACTTTGCTTTAGTTATCCTTCAGCCCCTCCTGCCCACTGCTCAGCTGCAGTCAGGTAACTGTCTGGCTCCAGCGTGTGATCAGTGTGACATGGTTCCTCATTTCACGTATTCTAAAGTAGCTGCTGCTGTTTGATTGTAAAGCTGTTAATGACAACTTGTGCTAGGCTTTCTGTTCACTGAAAAGTGCAGCTGAACACAGGGATTTTCAACTGCAGCCTGTAGGTATGAAGGGGCTTAAGAAGTCAGTTGTTACTTCAGTGAGTTGAACTTGATTGATAAGGATCTTGTTGCTGTGCTGTTTTCCTTTATTTGTGGTTGATTTACTGATACTGTCTCTCATCTCTAATGTAAACATGTTTACATTTCTTTTTTGTCTGGATTTCTTTTTGTTTTAGCTCAAGAAATGCATAAGGACTCCAGAGATCCCTTCAAAGCATGTAAGGAACTGGGTCCCAAAGGTCCTGGAGCAGAGACGACAAGGCTTGGAGTTGTACTTGCAGGTGAGTCTCCTCTCACTAGTGTGGAAGTAAAAGCAGCATATCTTTTCAGAGTTATGGTATCCAAAGCATCTGTACGTAGTTCAAGTAGTTCAGGTATGAAGTGGTTGTTCACTTCTAAGCAGTTTAAAATGTGGACTGCAAGTTGCATCTCTACTGGCAGTGTTCTCTTAGCAAGTCTAGCAGCTGGACTGTTTGCATTTTGCTTCTGATTAGGCTGCTTCTCATTAGGCTGCTGACAGACTTGAGCAAACTTATAGGCACTGTATTTTCCTGCACATGAAATAATAATACTATTCTTTCCAAAGCTGAATTAACTGTAGTAATGAAAAGTGCTATAGAAGAGAAAAAAGGGCACTTTATTTAACTGACCTCAGCTTAGGCAAATTACAGAAGCAGCAGCTTATCAAATTCATATCCCTCTTCTGTACATGTCTATATCTGAATTGTTCATCTAGTTGAAGTAGGCATTCATCATCACATAGTCATCTCACTGTGGGCGCTGCATTTTTAGTCCTACCTGGACACTCATTATGTTCCAGACTGTAAAGGGCACCTACAGTAATTTTTTGGATATATAAATATATAAATATATGACTGATAAATCCCATCCTTTTTTAATAGATGAAAATTCTACTCTCACTGTGATTGCTTCAAAAATTATTCTCTTGGCAGTTAAAAATGCCCACTGGCATAGTTCTACAGCCATTTCTCTGGTGACAGAGCAAGATTAAGGTGTTCCTCTGCACGTATTTCCAGTTCACTGCACTTTCTGCTGTATTAAAGGAGACCACAGAAATGGTCTGAGCAAAAAGATAACAGTTTTGTGAGGAGGGAAAGTGTGAGAGTGTTTTGTTTTTACTCGGATTATTTCAGGTATCTGATTTATGTCATCATCCACAGTTGCAGTGGCACAACTGGAAAAGTGGTGAACTGCAACATAATGTACCATGAGAAACCATCAGAGAAAATGAATGTTAACCTGCACCACTCTGACTCAGGAACTTGCCTCATTTTCAGGACAAAGAAAATTACTTAAGGAGGAAGAAATAATTGCAACGTGATCCAAGAAAGTATTACTTCTGACATTCTTTAAAAAGCAAGTTGGAAAGAAAGAGGAAAGTCCAGCTCAATTTTTGTTCTGAAATACAAGGAGAGTTTCCAGAAGTAGAGTTGTTTTTTTTTATTTTTTGTTTTAAAACATTTAGTGATTATTTTTCAACTGAAATATAGAATCATATAATTTTTTGAGTTGGGAGGGACCCTTAAAGGTCCTACTGCCCTGCAATGAACAGTGCCACCTACACTTTGATCAGGTGCTCAGAGCCCCATCCAGCCTGACTTTTAATACCTCCAAGGATGAGGCTTCTGTACCACCTCACTGGGCAACCTCTTTCAGTGCCTCACCACCCTTAAAAAATTCTTCTTCAGATCCAATCTAGAGGTCTCCCCTTGAGTTTGAAACCATTTCCCCTTGTCTTGTCACAGTACTGTCTGCCAGTACTTGAAAGGAACCTACAGGAAAGCTGGGAAGGGACTTCTTATTAGGACAGGTAGTGACAGGAAGAGAGGAAATAGCTTTAAACCGGAATAGGGTGGGTAGATTTAGGGTAGATATTAGGAAGAAATTCTTTACTGTGAGGGTGGTGAGACACTGGAACAGGTTGCTAAAGTGTCTGTCCCCTTCTTATTTATAGCCCCTCATTAGATACTGATAGGCAATTACTGGGTGTCCCCAGAGCCTTATGTTCTCCAGGCTGAACAGCCCCAACTCTCTCAGCCTGTTCTCATAGTGTGATGTTCCATCATCACTGTGGAGGAAGATGATAAAGAACTTTGGTCCCAGTACTGACTCCTGAGGGATTTTACTTGTAACTGATCTCCGTCTGTTCAACACCCCTCTCTGAGTACAATCTTGCAACCAGTTCCCGGTCCATCAAACAGTCCACCTCCAAATCTATGTCTTTCCAATTTGGAGAGAATGATATCATGGGAAATTGAGTAAAAAGCCTTACAGAAATCCAGATAGATGATGTCAGTGGATCCTCCCTTGTCCACTGGTGCAGTTACACCATCATAAAAAGCAGCAAGGTTGGTCAGGCAGAGCCTGCCTTCAGTGAAGGTATACTGGCTGCCCCATATCACCACCCTACTCTTCCATGTGTCTTAGCCTCTTCTTCCAGGAGGATCTGTTCCATGGTCTTCCCTGGCACAGAGGTGATCCTGACAGGTAGTAGTTCCCTGGGCCCTCCTTCGTACCCGTCTTAAAAATGGGTGCAAAATTGCCTTTTTCAGTCACTGGTCTTCACCTGATTGCCATGACTGTTGAAATATCATCAAGAGCGGCTAAATTTATTATTGTGGGTGCCAAGGCTTTCTGGTTTTGAAAAAAAAAAAAAATCTTTTTGGTTTTGATGGCTATCAGCACAGTTTGTGCAATCAGTGTGTTTTTATTTTAAGGACATTTTCAGTGACTTTCCTTTTTTTCCTGATTTTCATGAAATTGCCTTTTGGAGAGTATCAGTACGAAGGCACATACATCTATTTCTTGTATGAGGTTGGTTTTGTTAAGAAGGTACAAGGGTAAATTGCTTAGCATTTTTTAATTACTGATTAAACTTTAAAAGAACATCTCCCCCTACTGGAAGACTTAGTCGACTCTTAAAATTGTACATTCTTCATGTAATTAACTTGTACCCTCTTCTGTCACTGATGGGTATCACATGAACATGCAGTGGTTAAGACTGGAAAGGACAGCTACGAGAGCCTCATTTTAGGAAAATGAATGCCCATATCAAGGCAGTTGACTTATCAGAGTGCCAAGCATTTTCAAGACAGTGTAGGAATGCGCTCCAATTTCAAAATATATTCGGTCTGTTTTTAATTCAGCATTGTGTGTATAAAGTGTGGCTGATATGTTTTCAAGTTATACTGATGGAATTTAATCTTCTAAAGTAGGTTGGCTACTGCCATCACTTGTCAGTTGTGGTACTAGTTAACAACCATCTGTGCTGTGGGCTTATTTTTCTTGCTGTAGTTTTTTTCAAAACCATTTAGAATCTCACGCAAAGATTTTGAGCAGATACACAACTATTACTTTCAAATTATTTGTTTTATGCAGCATATGGTAATTTTTCATTATTTTACTTTGCATCTTGGAAAAACCTATGCCAAAGACAAATAACACGCTGTGCCAACTGCAGTTACACACAGACCTCTTTCTGACATAGCCTAATCATATTGAGTTTTTAATATATTTTTAATGAAGTAACCTCCTGTAGTTGAAATTTGGATAAAAATAATGAGATGAAATTAGAATATTTGATCTGTCTCTGTATCAAATAATAAGGAAAGCAAAGAATTCCATGGTCTGAGGTTGAAAGTGCTGCAGCTTGAGTACCTCATCTTCTCATGGTGAAACCAGCCTTTCAGATTCTTTCAATGTATGGATTTTGTTTCTTGGGGTACCTGGACAGGAGCTCAGAGACATTTCATTATAATTTTCTAATGAACAGCAAAATGGTGAATAAACCAAACATTATTAGACTGTGCTATAGAAGTGTGCACTCTAGCTCTATTAGAACTGTGCAGCAAAATCCACTGTCATCCATTGTCAGCTTAAATTCATCAGATGGGTTAATTTTGGTTTTGAAAGCTAGCTGAGGATGTGTTCTTCCTATAGTGGTCTGATTTTTCTGGAAGTGTGCAAGGTTGGTTTGTATGTGTTATTTTTAAGTGTTTTTAAGTGTACTCTACAATCTTGCCTGAAATTTACATCTTTTGTTTTTAATACTGTGAAACAGTTGACTGGCAAGCACTAGTGCGTTTATTGGAACAGTGCGCATAATAAATACAGCCCTTGTGAATATTAAGAACAAGCAACTAACTGACAACTGAAAGAAATAATTCTATTTAATCTGCTAATGAGGAAACACATGCAAAGATATGTGAACAACAGAATATGGCTCCTAACATTCAAGCAAGTTAATATGAAGCACTAACCAATTGCTCCTCTGCTTATTCATGGTAACTATCTGTGCATGAGCTTAGCCTTCGATACTGTATTTCAAAATGATGCAGATCACTCAGTGCTCTTTTTTGCACACTGTTGCTTGTGTTTGAGTTCATTAAGTCATCTTTTGGATGGGCCAGTTGAACTGGCAGTTGGGTTTTTATTTTGGACATTGAAGATGTTGGAGCAGCACTGAGGGCCTTATTTTTGGTTACTGTGACAACTGTGTTGTCAATCTGATGAGTATTTGTTACAATTAGATTTTGTGTAATCTTGGAAGGAGCAGTTTTTACGGAGCTTATTTTCGATGAACTGCTAATAGGGAAGAATTTGAAATAACGACCTGTCCTTTACTGATTCGAATTTAGGTCATATCCTGGTCCCAGAAAGACACTGGATGTTATTGCCATCCAGGCTCTCTGCCTAGGGTCTTGCCCTTTGTCAGGCCTGCCTTTTGACGTTCAATTCAGTAGACATTTTCTAACCCTTTGGGCAGAAGAAATTTCATCATTGTTAATACTATCAGTCCAATGAGAGAAAAGACATGGTTAACAGAATTCATTGTAATGTGACACCCACTCAACATCAGAATATGTCACTGTTAGTCTTCATTGAAATAATTTGATTATAGAGAGATTTTGGAGAAGGCCTGTATTTGTGATGAGCTTCAGGATACTGTCTTCTTTATTGTGGTCCAGGTGATCTGAAGAGATTCTTCCTATGACTGGCAGGGATCTCATATAAAATTGAGGGCTATAAACCTTCTGAACCAGTCTGTGTGGGAGTATGTAGGGTCTATATGTATGTACATCTCTAACCAGAGATAATACATAGAGATAATACTTCTCTCAGCAGAGATCAAGAAAGCATACTTGCCTTTTATTTACTCTTGAACTTTGTGAAAAGGGAACAGTTCTGATTCCTGAAGATAAGATTGGTTGGAACACTGCTCAGCAGTGAGATTTGAAGACTTGGTGAACTTTGACATTCC